ATTGGAGAATTGCGATTGGGAAACAATGCAATTCTTTCGCGGCTTTACGATTCGTCTTTCTTTGGACTCAACATGTACGATTCCCCGACGGCGATTTGTGAGATATGCCAACAGAACCATACGCGTTGCCCAGGACACACTGCCGTTGTAGATTTGGGATTTCGTTACATATTACCATTATACGTTGATAAAGTTCAATCTCTACTTAAAACTAAAGATGTAGCATCACATTCTAGTGTACTTCTTTTCAAAAATAAATTCCCTAACGAATTCTTGCGGTATACGTCTCACTATTTAATCGTGAGACCTCCGTGCGCGCGATTGGAGTTTATGAAAGATAAAAATTTACAACAACTTATACATTCACAAATAAGTTACACTCACAATCATCACGATCAACAATCTTTAATATCACAACATTCGTCTTCCTTGGCAGCGTCCGACCTGTCTCGTAAACATTGTAGGCCAAAAACTGTTTATCGATTATGCGAATATTATCCTATAGTGAACAAACTCATTTCGACTATACGAAAAGATCCAACAACGGGCGAGCCATGGCTTCCACCCGAAGTGCAAACGAGAATCGTGACCATGATTTATAATATGGCTATTGGAAAATCCGCAAGTGGACCCGTTTTGTCTACTGCCAGCTCGTCTATATCTAACGACATCAACGCATCTATATCAAACACCATGTATATGAGTGTTTCTACCAATAACAATGCTCTCGTTCCGTCGGACGACATACGAAGAGATGTAGTATGTACACGAGGCAACGGCTCTGTTACGAATAACGTATTTTCGGGTGGTAGAATACATATGTCTATGCTGGATGTTTTAGCACACAAGAAGGGTCTATTTCGTCAAATGTTTGGTGGAACTAGACCCATGTACACTGTGCGTGGAGTAATCGTATGCGACACAGACGTGTCTTTGTGGCAGGTTAAGGTCTCCCCTAAAGTGCAAGAATATGTAAAGAATAAAAGTGTATTTCTGTGTAGGCAACCAACTCTTTATTCTTCTGGAATGCAATTAGTACAGACAATACCTTACGAGACTAATATGTTAGTCTTGGGTGTACATCACGAACTTAGCGGATCCTTTAATCAAGACTACGACGGAGACGAAATGACTTTGTACGTAACCGAAACGGAATATACTCCTTGTGAACCTGATGCGATATTAAATTCCTTGTCCGTCTTGATGTTTTCTGAACTCAACGGAACAAATATAGTCAAATGTTCTTATAACACAGTCATGGCTTTTTTTGTTTTGACTTCATGGCCAGACGACGTACTGGAATGGTGGTTTGTAGACTATCTTAAAAATAAACATGCAAAGGATCAACATGAATTGAGGAAAATACAGAACATAAAGACGTATAAAGATTTTTTTTTATTCTTAACGTATATGTGAATGTTTGGGGGTAATCCTTCCGAATTTCAATGGACCAGCGATTTGGTCGTGGAAGCATTTGGATCTTGGCCTTGGACGAAAAAAAATACCACACTATTTGATCTTTTTGCAATAAGAGCATGCAAAGGAGACGAAGAACGATTATTAAGTAATAGAAGTAGAATTACTCGATTTTGTGACGACTTTATGACGCAATACGGTTTTGACATATCCGCAAAGGAAATTTCTCGTTGTTCTGAATTGTTTAAAAAGAAGTTTGGTAAAGTTCCAGAACATTTTGAGGAAACGAAATCGATGGTTGATTATTGGCAAAAAGTTACGAGCACAGTTATGGACATTCTAGACGAAAGAGATACCTTATCCGTGATGGTGAATTCCGGAGCTAAAGCGACACCTGTACACGTATTACAAGCCATAGGTTGTATTGGACCGTCTGTGGTTAATTTTTATTCTCGAAATTTTGCTAAAATGTGCAGAGATGTGGGTGTGTGTGTTTTTGGGGGAGATGATAGTAACATCGGTGGAGACGTTTCGTGTGCTTGGTTATACGATAATCTTTGGGACGGTTTGCGACCGGTACAACAATTCATAATGTCCTGTAATTCCATAGAAAATATGGTAAGATCTATTGTGTGTACTGGTGAAGGTGGTTATTGGCGTCGTTCCGTTCAATTTACTCTTGACGGACTTGCAATTAAAGAAACATTTTCTGTAGTTGATGTGGACCACGACGAATTTGTGTATCCGCCGGTGTGTAATGTAGGTGGTGCGGCGGATTATGTATCTAGTCAATTTTTCACGAGGTTTGGAATACCGTATTATATTAACTCAACCGATGATATAACGGCCAAATGTGTAACTTTCGATAGTGGTATGCAAATACACGCGAACGATGTGGATTATTTTGTAGATTCCGACGGCGGTCTAGTGTGTTTAACTCATACGAAAAGTTTGCATTATTATGTTAACTCTTTAATTAAAGGAAACAATAAAACATGATTATTAAAACCGAGAAATTTCAATGTATTCTTTAATTGTTCGCAATCTACATCTATATTTGCAATTTGGATTTAAACAATCCCAAATGAGACTGGCAATGTCTCCTGGAGCATCGTATAACAACGACATGGTGTATTTTTCTAAACGCATGATCGCTTCGGGACATCCGATACCAGCAGCCACGAAATCTGATTCGTCAAAATTTTCAAACGGTAAATGTAAAAAATACATTTCATATAATAAGACGCCTAAACTCCATGACATTAACAGTTCTGCATTGTACGACTTCCTTTCTCCGCGATAAAATGCAATTGCTTCTGGTGACGAGTACGATAATGTGCTTTTGAAAGTCCGAACGCGTTTATTCACAAGATGCACGTCACTCCAATCTATAACTGTACACTTCATATCCTTATCTATTACGATATTTCCAGATTTAATATCGCAATGGTACACTTTACATTTCTTTACAGTTTCATAAAGTACGTTGAAGACTTGACGAAATATATCTCGAATATTTAAAAGTTTATGAGAGTATAACAGATCTCGTAAAGACGTGCTTCCCGTATCGAAAAATGCTAAAAAACCGAATGTTTTATTCGACCATTGCTTTAGACACATTGGAATTCCTCTTATAGATCGTTGAGATAGAGTCTTTAAAATAACGTATTCAGCCTGAAGTCCAGTTTTCCATTTACTTATTTTAAGGATTATGCTCCTTTCCTTGGAAAGCCAAACTCTGAATACTTTAGAATGTGCACCGCGACCTAAATATTCATACGTTATATCCATGGTGTTGTACACACTTTTTAACATTTTATTTCTTTCATTCGAACATATGTATGTATATAATGAAATAAACGTTATAAAAACATATACTTAAAATGAATACCAAGTTATTTACCACTTTCGTACCAAAGTACAATATGCCTTATCATTTGAGCGAAGAAATGACGAGTATGCTAAAGAATATCGCGAACGTATTTCGCACTGGCATTGTCCCCACCATTGATATATCGAAAGACCTCACTATGCAATACATACAATTTATTAATTCAGTTGAAAAACACGTTGACGCTCCTTTGGTTTTCGAATCACGTGAAAAAATTGATCCAGACGACGTTCAAGTCATCGTCGATGTTATAAACTGGTTGGGTGCGAATCTTACTGGTACTGTTCATCACATCTACGATAGTTTAGATAGCGAAGACTTCTATGATGCCATAGAAGACGACGGTATTACAACGACTACGGTTTAAACAAAAATATGCGAATATTTATGTATAGAACTATATTATGCAAAAAATAAACTGATTATCAAGTACATGTAATGTTTATTTTGTGGGAAAAGATATGTCTTTACTTCCCAACGTAATTGGAATTCATCATCAAATTAGAATAATATATTCTATGAGTAATAGTGGGGATGTAAACACGCTTTTAAATAATGCTCAATTTCAAAATGTCACTTTAGAACGTAGAATAGATAAAAACGTAGTTGAAAAAACTCATTTACAAGATTTATTCGTTTCAAAAAATATAGCTCGTGCATATGATTTGTTTAGACAGCAATAAAAACCACTAAATGTCTACCGCCTTTGAATATGCTCTGCTACACCGTGGATACGACGTCTCTATTACGAGTAAATTGGGAGAAGGTGGTTTTGGTATCGTATACGCGGGAGTACGCTTGAACGATAACGCTCCTATAGCTGTTAAATATATTTATCACAAAGATGTTTGGAGGTGGCATACTGTGAAACAACCGTTCCAATCGAAAATACCAATGGAAATACACATGTTGAAAAGAGTAAATAAAGTTGATGGTACTATTAAGTTGTACGATTGGTTCAAAATTGAACACGGTTATGTATTGGTTATGGAGAGATCGATTAAAAGTATCTCACTTTATTCATATATGAAGACGCATGTTCTCAACGAAAAAGAAATTATTAATATATTTAAACATCTCGTACAAATAACTTACGACTGTTGGGTCAAATGTGGAATTATTCACTGTGATTTAAAAGAAGCAAATATACTCATCAATAAAGAAACAATGGCAATTACCATTTTAGATTTCGATTTTGCAGTAGAGTGTTCAAAACGTCTTAGGAGAACATACGCAGGAACACCACTTTATGCGCCACCAGAATGGTATATAAATGGTATATATTACCCCGAGAGCACCGTCGTATGGACCCTAGGCGTTATACTCTGGAAGCTATTGTTCAGAAAAAGCCCTTTCAAGACAACGAAAGACATTAGGAAATTCGAAACTTTAGAAACCATTGACCCTTTTGAAACAGAGAAACTGTTATATTCTTCAAATGTTATTTCTTTGTTAACGTCACTCATGAGGAAAAAAATAAACGAAAGGCCCGGTATAGACGTACTTCACAAGTTAGCGCTAAGTCTTTGACAAGAACAATTGTACGTTTTGAAATAAAGTGTTTCAATAATCAAAAAAAACACACAAAAAATATCTTGTGGAGGGTATTGCTCTTAAAAACGTATGACATTTAATTATTACATTTTCTTTCGTATTCCTTCACATTTCTATACAATATACATATAGACTTTTCTTTGCGTTATTGTTATTGTAAAGAAAAAATAGAGTGTGTGGAGTGGTATATAAAAAAGACCCACCCCCAAAAAAGAGAGTGTGGGGGTGTGTATATGTTGTCTATACGAAGTTTACGTGCTTTTTTTGTGTATGTGTGTGTCTGTGTGCGTCTGGGTGTTGGTAGAATGAAAGAAAGAAGATATTGGATGAGAGTGTACCATGCTCTCTGATTGGATGGGTACGTTAATAAAACAATATTTATCCCTTCCAAAAGCATTTGTTTATATTGTGGCTGTTATTTTTTTTTCGTATAGTAACACGAGACGCTACGCATATTTGCCTATATATAGGCCGTACATGTAACTACGAATATCAGTCTACGAGATGAACTTCCCTAAAAAGGATCGTAAGCGTAAGAGTGACAGTTCGTTCGGCGCACGGACTTCTTCTTCTTCCGAGCCTATAGCCGTACTCGTACCATCGAATACGTCGTTTTTAGATTCACCGTCTATGCAACTGCAAACTAAAAGTAAACGTCGTCGAAGAGGGAATAGAAGTTCGTCGATTGATTTGAATGAAGAAAAGGTTAATTCATTGTTTCTCAAGAAAAGAAGTTTGACGAGATGTGCTAAGCAGTATGGAAGCGTATTGCCAATCTTCGAAGAACTCCCATCGGATTGGGATATGCTAACTTTTAAAATAGTGATGCCTAACAACATTATAAAAGATTTAATTAATTTAACAGTCTTTTATTCGACTCAGGATTTTATACCAGCAATAGATACGTCCATGTATCTACCATACATGGATGTTAAGTTAATTAGAGATCTTCAAGAAAGATCCGTTGCTAAAAGTTTGATGGTAGTGCTCAAGAAAACCATCGAGAAGTTAGACTCGAAGATATTGTTGCCACTAAGAAAAGATATGGATAGAAGCAAATTATTTTACTACCGCTCTGGGAAGAATATTTCAATTCAACCTAATGTTTTGCAACCCATTATATTAGAGAGTATTACAGTTATGAAACCAGTATGGAATATTGGTTTTAATCTATTCAATGGATATACATTACCGTATTATTATCCGTACAAATATATAGCCACCAAGACTCACCGACCCACTGTTGGGAACAGTGCTATGCTCGAATATTTTATGATACCAGCATTAACGTCGCAGGAGGTCCGAAACAACATCAAGGAATTCTTACACGAAACTCCATCTGATCAACAGGATGTTATGGTGAATCAAATCGTAGAAAGCATCAAGACGGTTTGTACCCTTCCCATGTTTACAACCGACGACGATTTATGGAACGTGTTTTCAAAATTCGTCATCAGTCAGAAAAACGATTTGGATTCCATGAGCAGCATTGTCGAAAGTATGTGTGCATATCCAGCCATTTGGGAACAACCACACGTGTACGCAAGCGGTGTGCGGAGTGTGAATGCGCAAGTTCCTTGGGACTTTCTGAAGGAATTTTTGACTAATATTTTTTTTTCGTGTAAAAATGAGGGTAATCAACTGGACACTTCTTTACTCGAAGCTTCTTTTTTCTTTTACGTCATTTATAGTGTAATTCGATACAGTGATCCCATGGATTGTACCTTTATTATCGAATGCACAAATGTACAAGTATTGGCAGAATTCTATTTGAGGATGCGACCTATACTAAATCCCTTTAACATGAAGCTGAATACTCCAGCTTCCTTATTTATGGTGAGGCATAACATAAAGTCTATCGTCGATTCAAACTTTGGCACTGTCAATGAGAACATGAAACATGCACAAGAAGGCAAACGCACTGCTGTGGGGTTCGCTCACGTTGCAAGGCATACTATTACAAATCCAAAAACCTCTAATAGAGGAAATAAAAAAAGTTTCATATTTCATCTTACGAATTTTTGGGAATCTGGTCAAGACGAAGCCTTTGCCAATAGGTTCTTGCACCCACAAATCTTCATTGATATAATGAATACTCTTATGAGTATTTATACTAATACAAACGTTGAAGACATTACGGACACTCGTCTACATATGTGGTCTAAACAATGTCTTAGTGAAGTACTTAATTCAATCCGTATATTCACGAGAATAATGCCATCAAGCAACAATTGTGTCGCCGCTGCTGCTGCTGCTGCTGTTAAAAGCAATGAGAAGGAAACACCTCAAACTTCTGCTGCAATACAAGTGTCAACGGACGATCCAGAGGATCAGGTTTTTCAAGATGTGCGAGATCGCATTAACCAATTGACAGAATCTTCGGATCCCTGGGGAGGATGTGACGAAGACATGGCATGGACATCGAGAATCGACAACGCTTCGAATGGTAAGTGTATTTTTTTTTATTCTTTGGTTAGTAATTATTTGTATTCATTTCGTAATATAATCAAAATTGAACAAATATCGCTTTCATTTTACAGAAAAACCAATGCTGGGGGTAGGGGGTTCCGAAGAGGAAAAAGAAGGGCTCGATAAGCCGACCGAACATGGTATTGACAACGCAGTAGAAGATGGCAAGGAATATCAGGCTGCGATTACCCAAGTTCGCAAAGACAACGAAGAAGAGTGCATAACACAAGTTGTAAAAAGCTATGACGGACAACCGATATGCCAGGAAGAGTCCCAATATCATGGAAGCGAAAGAGCGCTTATTGGTAACGATGGCATAGTTATTCAAGATTGCCAATACGATAAAGAGTGTGATATACAATTCATGACTAATGGGGAAGAAGAAATGTGTGACAAACATAAGCGCTACTCTGAAGCAGGCGCTTGTGACAACGTTGAACTCTATGATAAAGTTAATGGAGATATCGACGACCGACCAGCACCCCCTTTGGTGGACGAGGTGTCCTGGCAACCACCACTCAATCTTGACGATGTTCTGAAACGTATGTCAATAATTTATTGTATAACATAGTTTTATGATTGTTTTATTTATTTGTCTATTTATCTACATTACAGAATCCATTGCCGAGTGTGATTTACCTTGCAATGAAGATGTCGGCTGTAACGAAGATGCACCCTGCATGCAAGGTCGAATCAATTTTGACGAGATCTATTTACGTACGTTATTTGTTTAGTTCTTCCCTTTCTATATATAATTTTTAATATTTATTTTTTCCTTTCATTACAGGTACACCATGTCCTAGCTCGTCAAAAGAACCTGGTACATCGATTATCAACAGGGTGGCTATTAATAACGTATGCAAGCGAAGATTAGCAGAAGAATTATTTCAAGGTATCCATACAGACTCTGAGTTTAATTTTGACCCTTGATTACTAAAGAGAGGATGAACAAGTCTTATATTGAAGATCTAATCAAATACGGTTTTGATAGTAATGACAGTATTGACGATTGTTTATCACAATCGTCAATATATGATACATTAATTGACGATAGCGTCTATAGTGATACTTATTGTGACAATGCGGACGATGATAATGACAATACATCGTATTATAATCGAGTCAAGAATGATGATGAAAACGACGTGGACGACAATGAAAACGACGTGGACGACAACGAAAACGAAAACGACATCGAAGACGAAGAAAAAAAATGTGAAATTGAATTTTGTAAAGACATCCCACCATGTAAAAACATGAAGATATAAGTGTGATTTCAATAAACATTTATGAAAAAATAACAACATTGTCATACTTTCCATCCCTCAGCAGAGACTTTATATGAAGCTTTGGCTGTGTTGAGTAGGATAAAAGTTTGAAAAAGCAACTTAACATTTCGGCATCACCGAAATGTTAAGTTGCTTTTTCTTCTCCAGGTGAGATTCAAACTCACACCCTCGGCATAGCTCACAAGTACTGACTTATAAGTACCGCGCGCTAACCCATTGCGCCACTGGAGAATAGGATATATAAAAATGAATGACATGCTACACGATATTGAAGATTAAAATTTTTATTTTTCCATTCTACATCGATCTTACTGTGTTTTTTTTTTTTTCATAACGTTCTTGTGGTGTACGAAGTAGGAATACTTGAAGAAGGAGAATAGGAAAACTAATTTTTACATTACATTGAAATATTATAAGTAACCAAATACACCGCTGTTTTCTATAATAAATGCTTGTGCCAAATCGGCTTTACGTATCGTTTTACGATCATGATATTGAGCAAAAGCTTTAGCTCGGTATATCGTAGTATATAAATACATTCTAATAACGTTATGTACACTCTCGTTTAAGGATTTTGATATTCGAGTAATGCTACTTCGAAGACTTAGACGTTTAATTTCGTTTTTGCAAAGATAAACACCTCTAGTGATTTGGTCGAGCTCACGTGCACGTCGCTGTGCAGTTCGTTTTTGCGCAGGTGTTAGTGGTGGCATTTTTTTAATAAATTATTCTATATATGTGTTTTTATGAATTGTATTTAGATATAGGTTTTTTTTATTGATTCAATTACTAATCGTAGTATGTGGAGAATGAGGTGGTTCTTCCCATAAATTAGACAAAACGTCTTTCACGATTTGTCCGAAAGATTTTGCATCATCCGCGTTATTATCAAACAAGTCTTCTTTACTTTTAGGCTCTTGCATAGCATGGTTTATATAATCTTTTAAAAATGACTCGTTGCTTGCTCCCCTGTTCATTGTGTCGTAAGCAGCGTCCAACCAATCGTCGACGGAGGTTTCTTTTGACGTGTGGCGAGAAGGGCTGTATTTATTATCGAACCACGCAGTTCCTAGAAGCAGCTTCCCGTTATTAAACAATTCGTCAATGGCCATTACGTCTTTGTGCGTCAAAGAATTGTCTGCATTTTTATAACGTGTATATAATCCCTCCTCCGAACAGTTTAACGGTACAAATTTTTCGTCGTCGAGAAGATTAAGAAGGTGTGCCGCAGAGTATATTGTCCGGTTACATTGTTTGCGTAACCAGTCGTGACCGTCTTTACTTAACAAAGCCGTCTTCAGGAATATGTGGTGCAACATATTTTGTTATAACAACAACGTCATGCCACTCTCCCACCGGCTCATTGCCATAATGAAACGTGCTTCAAATACCAACGAAGTTTCTCCACGTGAGTTTGTGACGTTCCTCTATCTCCTGGAACAAATTCAAATATCTGTTGTGAAAACGGTTGGAAGTCATCTATGTTTAAACACTGTGGTTGGCGTGTTTCATTTCATAACAGACGGCAAATATCGTAGAGTCATGAATTATTTTATTCATCTCGTCAAAAACCAATTATGGTATTTCGAGACTCTATGCAAGTACATAGACTACCGAATATACGAACACGACGAAAGTGCTCTGTTATCTGTTATACCTACATATATGCCAATTTGGTTGGCAAATTCTTCAGATATGGATAGCATAATATATTGCGAAACGATGAACATTTTAAATGTCAGTACTACTAGTTCAATTACTTTTTTTATTGCATGTGTACGCAAATTGAGTTTAATGTTGTCGATGCATCCATTGTGTGTTTTAACAGACGTCGTTCAGCCTTATACAATACCAAACCCAACGATTCACGAAAAGTTTTTACATATAATATATAGTAAAAATGTTTACTATAACGTGTGTGATTATTTAGAGTGGTTTGAATCAAAAAAACTTTCTCGTGCGTGAATTATCTTGACTACGCTAAAAAATAACGAGATAAAAAAAATATGGGTAAAGATAAATACCGAAAACATAGAAAACACCGCAACCATCATCATCATCACCACCACTACCACAACATCGTAGTCGAGTGCCTGATTCTTGACGAGTGGAACGAGGGAGACGATATGGTAGAGAATAAAAGGGAAAATACTAGCAGATACAATCGTTTTATGAACGAACGGACCACCACGCCTGTAGTCAGAAAAAATGTTCCGCCCGATGAAGAAGCAGCCTTACCCGATACAGACGCAAATAGTTCAAACTATATTGGAGGCGGCAAGTAAACGCGAACATGTAATGATCGAGTCGCCAACTGGATCTGGAAAGTCTTTGGCACTCATTAATGCAGCCAGTCAATGGATCACTTTACATCCGACTTCGAAGGTTTATTATTGTTCGAGAACTCATCAACAACTCGAACAAATCACCAATACCATTAGAGAAGTTGACCCTAACATACGTACGGTGCGACTTGTTGGTAAAGAGAAGTTATGCCTTTACAATACACCAGCTGGGGGTAACATGGCCAAAGTCTGTAAATGGATCAAAAGTACACATTGTTGTTATTTTAAAAACTTGGGAAAAACACAACCACCGGTACAAAGCGATCCAATTCTTGACGTAGAAGATTTGGTAACGAAGTGTTCCGAATTACAAATATGCCCTTACTATACTAATAACAGTTTTGTAAAGGACGCAAATATCATTCTTTCTCCATATAATTACATTTTGGATGCATCGATACGTAAAGTTGATTTGCACGATTCTTTAATTATAATAGACGAAGCTCATAATATCGAAAGTGTTTGTAGAGACAGTCTATCTTTTGAAATATCTATAACATCTTTGCAATCGTATAAAATGCAAGTGTCTAAAAACAGTTATATGTATAATTTTTTTAACAAATTAATTACAATGTATGAAAAATTCAAAGAAATAGCTTGTAAAAATAAATATTATATAATAACAGGAACTGCGTATTTATCTACGTTAACGAAACAGGTCAGCTTAGCTAACATACCTCAATTTCCACACAATCGCATCCTAAATCAGTTTATTGAAAAGTTTCAGCAACATGTGTCAAATTTAAACAATTTCAACGCGGATTGTTTTCGCTTAGTCGTCGAGGCTGATTTGTTTAGAATAATATGTCTCGACCCACAACACGCTATGAAATCGGTAGTGGAAGTAGTGCGGACTATAGTTCTTGCGTCTGGGACACTGTCACCATTTAATTCGTACGAAGCCGAATTGGGAATTAACTTTAAGCATAAAATCACGGGAAATCATGTGGTGCATCCTGAAAATGTTTACATAAGACGTATTTCACATTCTATTGACGGTAAAATACCCTTTAGAATGACATATGGTGCATACAACGACAAAACGGTATTATCTGCCATTGGGCAGCTATTGTTAAAAATATGCGAATCTATCAAAGTGAACGAACAGTGTAGATTGGGTGGTTGTGGTGTGTTATGTTTTTTCCCATCCTACCAATCCATGTTAAAGTGTGCACAAGTGTGGAAGAATATAAATCCAGACGTGTGGACGTCTCTCATGGCTACTACAAATGGATGCATCTATTTCGAAAGCAACGACGAGACCGTCCATTCACACGTGGAATCCGTGGCCTGTGGTGAAGTGTCTATATTGTGTGCAGTGCATCGCGGAAGAATTAGTGAAGGCATGGACTTTGCCGATAATTTGGCACGCGTTGTGGTATCCATCGGAATCCCCTTTCCATCTATCGTGCAAGACGACGTCCGTCTCAAAATGGAATTCAACGACACTACAAAACCTCAAGTTCTCAACGGTCGTGAATGGTATCGCATCCAAGCTATGAGGGCTGTGAATCAAGCCGTCGGACGATGCATCCGACATTCGAAAGATTGGGGGGCCATGCTGCTCGTCGATCAACGCTTTCTTCAATGCGACACTTGGAAGGACATGTGCAATTGGATCAAGGTCATGGAAAATGGACGTCCGGCTGGCAACACTCGCAAGAATGGTGTAGTTCAAGAATTAACGAAATTTTTTAAGGATAAAGAATTGAAATAAAAAACAATGATCACGCTCGAAAGTCTCGTTTTGTCTTTGGAAGCGAATCGAAAACACATCAAAGTAGAATATTTACAATGTCTTGCAGCACATCAGGCAAACTCGGAGTTAAAACAATTAATATTTATCATAGTATTCATTTGGCTGAGATCACCTTCACTACTTTTACAGGTTCGTGAATATTTACAGCTATATCCAGAATACCAAAATGCATTAAATGCGCTTACGGACGAATCCTTTTCGTTTTGTGAAAAGCAACACGAGGGTACGAATGTATTCGAACCATTCACTGTCATTGCCTTACGCTTTGGGATCGGTTTGAATGACCAACAATCGAAATATATTACTAAGATCATGGATACTTTGGCTATAGTAAACTATTTAACGAGATTTCATCAACGGCAAACGTGTATTAATCTTTGGCGAAGGGGTAAAATTAACGTGTGGATATTCTCAGAAATAATGGTGTCGGTACCCATAAAGGAGCGAACGTTGATCGAAATTATGCATCGTTGTCGTCATTTGGAAAAATATATGACAGAAGAATTCTTTGTAGAATTAGCTCAATCGTGGTCCAAAGTTGACGGATTGGTTTTAGATTTTAACATTTCTCAAATCGATATTAAGAAATACGAGAGTGATTTTGCGCAAACATTAACAGGTTACGTTCTGTCGAATGATTCAAACTATTTTTCGAAAGGTGTACCAGACCATATGCACGTTTTACAATATCACATGAAAGATTTAGAGTACGAAAATATCGTGCCCAAATATTGGGCGAAGAAGGTTCACAAGAAAAATAATTTGTTAAAACAAACAGCATGGATTGTCATGGAAATACTACTACGATTTGGAACACACGAGGCGGTCGAGTTTTTTAACAGTGACATAAAAGATATTTTTAAAGAAATTATTAAAGCATCAAAACTAGCTGGTGAAACAAAATCGGTGGACGTATCGGCCTATGTACATAGGCGCAATTTAACACTCAGATCTATTGGTTTAGCTGTGGAGGAGAAATACACGAATCAAATTGCTTCTATGAAGCTTCTTTTACACGCCATAGCAAACATTAAATCTCGTCGTCAACTTCAGAATATACGTATTACAATAGGAGCAAAATCAAATGATTATATAACCGTTTTCGAACTCTTTTATTCGCAACAACACGAATCTTTTAAAAATATAATGCAGTTGCTCGGTCACGTAGAGGACACAATCGAAATGGAGTTGCTAACTAAATTAATACATTTAGTGAAAACCGGTGATGAAACAAAGGTAAATTCGGCCGATGTCATATATAAATCTGATATACGCGCCTCGGAAATTTTAAAAAATACATTCAATATATATCCGTCTCCAAATAACGACACGCTATTATTAGATGAAGACGCATACGATTTCATCAAAACCATCATATCTACTCGTTTCGTACGTCTCTATTGGCATGCGTATAAGGGGCAGGTTAATGGTTCCGTCTTAAACATCAAAGAAGAAACTTGGCTTACTATGGAATTGTTATTAAATTACGACGAAACACCACAGATAAAATCTATATTGTATAATTTGCCAAACCATGCAAACTTTATTAAATCTGAAATTAAAACATTTCACGAGTCTAGAAAGACTACGATTGTGTCGTTTTACGAATACGATACTGAAAGAACGTGGTTATTAAAACGATATGGTGTCGCAGTTAACACAATTGTAGAAAACGAATTACAGGTATTAGATGCTATAATCGTTTTAACATCTCATTTAAAAGCGCAAGATTTACCAATCATTAATAAGAATCTTCCTTTAAAATTAGCCAAGTTATTTACGATAGTATTAGAAAATCCGTCATTTACAAAAGCGCATCAAGTGTATGCTCTATCAGATAAGCCATACTCGTTATATGACGTTGTAAATCTGCTAGATATAATAAAGGAATCTACACCACCACCTATAGATCCCGTAGTCACAAAAATTATTCGTATATATAACGACAAGGTTAAAAAAGACAAAGCTTCACTTAAGAAGTATAAAATTGCCAACGATTACAAAGAAAAATATTTAATCTTTAGTACAGAGAATCCCAACGATATAGACCTAAACCATAATATAGACCTAAATGCAGATTTGTTACACGATTATCGAGCGGTATTACCCCGTTATTGGGTACAACACGTTTACCAGAATAATGACTATAAAGCGTATTACAATACATGGTTAACTATGGAAATTTTAACATATTTCAAAGAATACGATATTGAAACCATTGTCAAACGATTAGTACCAAATCACGATATTGCAAATACTTTGAAATCCTTAAAAAAACGAAACGGAAATAAGTGATATAGAATTATATCACAGAGCACAACATTCCGCGCTACGTTCTTTTAATTTATTTCTGGATAACGAACATGCATATGGAGTAGACGTAATGAAGGAAATCTTCGCGATTATTCCTACGTTTTCAAAATCGGAAATACTTCAACTGCGTAACGTCATCCACGATCATTCCGTTTATCCACCGATATTGGGTCTATTTCTTGAAATCGTGGCGTATTATGCTGCCGAAAACGATGTGTATTCAACTATGCGTATGTTACGGCCTATAGAATGCCAATTAGATGTCATATTATTAGATTCGATATTGAATTTATTTATATATATTAAGTTAGCAGATCGCGAAAAAATCCTTCCAATGAAACGAATCCGTGCAATTAATAAAAATATACACGAAGCAGACTCCACTGTTTTTCGTTTAAAAGATACTACCAAGTTAGAATATAAAGTAGAAGACGAAGATGCGATTACAGACACTCAAGAAACGACTACAATAATTCCGTCACCAACACACCAATTATATACATTTGTAGGTGCTCCACTTGTATTGTGGTCGCTCATTGCAACCGGTGTAGTCATATATAATAGAAATAAAAAACCAAGACTGGGTGAATAAAACCATCTCTGCGCCATCTTTCGAGCCATTCATGAACTAAACCTCGAAGTGGCTACATATCCACAAAGGAGGGACAGACCCATGCCTTAAGGAGCTTCGCCCCTAAAAAATAATAAAAACGAGATTTTTGCAATGTCACAATTTATTCTATTTTTATGTGTGTTCTAGAGACTAACCAAAAGAATAAACAATGCCCGAAGTATCGATTTTCGAAGAACATTTCGGTGACCAGTACAATAATATGATTAACAAATTGGACAGGTTTAAGAGGACACGTTTTTCCGTTTGGTTTAATTATATTAAAGGTAAACCACTCTCTGAACATCCCAAAACACTTCAATATGCTTGGTTAATTAGTGAATTCATGCAAACGAAACCTACGTCTTATGAATTCATGACTTGGCATAGAAACACAGTAACCCCTCAGTACTATCCGGCCGTAGGTATATATTTGAATACGTTTTATACATATAAGAATAATACAACGTCGGCGCAAGAAGAAGAGTATAAAGTGGTTTTGGAAACGCAGGCGACAATGGCTTTAAATAGTATAAATGCTTTCTCTGGAACACAAATTAAGGACCTCAATGACATGCATAGTAAAATCAAGTCATTGTCTACTAATTTTATAAATCAACTGCGTTTACGTGCATGGCGTGTGACAAATAAATTAGTATGGCATTTGGTTGAATTAATCGTGTCCTACGATGTTCACACAAAACCGTATATAGCTTTTATCGACTACCTGAAAAAAATTAAAACGAAATTAATTATAAATAAATTTCGTGTATTAGAAACTATATATAAAATTATTAAAAGTGTAGAAAAAGATAATGTACTGGGATATACAATTTTAGATACCGTGTATAGATCTTACACTGACGATTTAGAAAAACTCACGAAAAAACTAGACTTTAAAGTCTCCGATCAACTATTAAAATTTAATGTTACAGAAGACAAGTCACTTGTACAAGATGTCGTGGGGGATAAAAATGGAAAAGATGAAGAAGACGATACGATATCTGATATAGATGAAGACTCAACAACTACAAAATTTCAGAATGGTAAAAAGAGACCCATTCCGAATGCTAAGATCGATCTTGAAGAAGTTGAACCTCCTTTAAAAAAGTTCATACTCGATAAAAAAAATTACTTGATCAGTGGATCGATTGTAACAGTTTATACCGTTTTAGTATTGACTACATTGGCTAGCATATTTTAAAGATAATAGATAGCCTCCAAGTACTTGTCGATCACTTCGTCATCGCCTTGTTGAACAACCTTAGATAATAGATTAGCACATTTTTTTAAGTGGGTGGCTTCTGCATCATCCTCAGTCATCCATTTAGAAAATTCGATAGCGTTATTGGTAGCCTTTAAGGCTATTTTTAGCAACGTATTATTACTATTTGTAACACGTTTTGACAGAATAAATAACAAGTGATCGACACTACCTTGTCTAGCATTTTTTGCGCGATCTTCTACTGTGGTTGGTGGGATATAATTCATCGATCCATAATTCAGAATAGATACGCATTTCTTGTTGTTTTGCAAAGCATCTTGTACACTACTCGCAGTACCTAAATGAACACGTACATACTTTTCTAAGAAACTGTGACATGTCTTCAAGGCGTTGTTTAAAGATTCGTCACCATCGGATGCCTTGACACAATGATGTAACATGGTGTACGTAGAATAAATAGACATTATTGTCGTCGTGTATAGTTTTTAAACAATGTTATAATTGTAATATAGATATATATTAGTTCTTTTTTTATTTTTTATAACACTTTAAATATGCATCCAATAATTTCTAACGTGTTTTGCACTACGAGATTAGTTCTATTGGGATTCTTTTTACGAAGACGCTTACCATTTGTTTTAGGAATACGCTTACCTTTACCAAAAACTTTGCGCACGCGCTCCCACATGCCATTTGTGGAATTCTTCGTACCTTCTTGTAATGAAATATCGGATACGATTTCTGCTGAAGTCAACATTTTTTATTATATAAACAACTCAATCATCTACAGCATCAGAATCGCTATCTTCCATTGTCGAC